AGATGGATAGATTCGTATTTGAGTCTAGTTTCTATTGATATAAACAAAATAATTGTTAAATGTGTATATTAATACAGAATAATATTTCTTTAAATGTAGTACAAACTGTCGGAACATGAAATTATGAAAATTTTAGGATTTAACCAAATTATAAGCAAAGTGTCAAGTTAAAGCTTAGTGAGGCTTATATTTTGGCTTGTTTAAAATGTCAAAATGAGTGCAATGCATGAATAACATTAGACATGGATGTTTTATACATCATCGGGTAGGACTTGCAATGATATACCTTATTTACGTTGGCATGATATTTATGTCTTTTATCATATATTTGACATATTTAAATATGTAAAAGGTTGAATATAAAATGAATTTATCATTGATCGTTACATATGATGTTTATCATGAACATATATGATATTTATCATGAATGATATTTCGGGTATGAAGTGCCCAATGTTAAATTATGATAATATACTTTGCCATGAATGGATCAAATAAAATAGACTGTATGCCCAAGTAAGTCAATGAAGGACAGGGTGAAATTGGCATGCCATATAGTCCAATAGGTGTAGGTATATTTTAGCACTAGTGTGTAAGGACATTTAGTGCAGCACTATAGTGTGTAAGGGCACTAAGTGCATATGGTGGGCACGACCTTATGTGTATTATGGTGGGAATGACCTTATTTGTAGTATCAATTTGGTGCATATTTGACTCGAATACCCAAGGTCTTCATATGTTTACTTTTGGGCTATGATTTATTGGTTAATAAATGGTAAACAGGTAAATAAACTTACGAGCTTGTGGAATGAATGACAAGTATATTGGTAAGAAACTTGATATCCGATTATATCATGTTAATTTATAGTAACATCGTTGGAATATAGGTAAAGTGATCATATATTTAATATGGTTATTCATTTAAATTTATGTGTTGGATTGCTTTAAATATTCATATGATTGCCTCACTAAGTGTATACTTAGCGTGTGATGATTTTAACGCGTAGGAAAAATGAGGAAAAGGAGCTGAGTTTGGCATCAATCACCAAGGAAATATTTACAAGTAACAATGATGACATCCTACTATGTTCTAAAAGTTCTGGCAGACATGTACACGAGAATGAAATGTCTACAATTTATTAATATAGTTAGTATTAAATATAATTAATAGTATGAATAAATATTATAATATTAAAATATGCTTAAAGAAAAAAATTAATTTGGGTTTTAAATCATACATGTTAGACAATCTTATTTATTTTATGAAACAGAACAAAACTGTCTATCACTGCTTGAAACTAGTTTTGAATTGGCAACCAAAAATATTATATTATGATTTTTCTCTGAATAATTATTTTATAATAATTGTGCAAGTTATGAAAATAGTGATGTTTGAATGAAACCAAAATTCTACTAAATTCAATTAAAGAAATGTTTTGAATTTATGATTGACATTTGTAACTCGTATTGATTCGTGTATACGGGTTATGGGTGTTATAATTGGGGCTGTTGATATGGGTTTCAATGGTCCTTGCTTCACATGCGAACGAGGTGATCTATGCCAGAGGCTAGACCGGTGCCTCGGGAATACAAGATGGACTGAAATTTTCCATTCAACTACTGCTACTCATCTCCAAAGAATTGGTTTTGATCATCGACCAATTCTGCTAAAAACCAATGAGGATCGAGGTGCAAGCAACAATCGGTCTTTTCGTTTTGCAGATGCATGAAATGATCACCCGGATTTTGAAAGATTACTTGAGAATTGTTGGACCAATGGCACTTCCTTTCTTGAGAACCTCTTCGCTTTCCAGGTTAAGAGCAAGAGCTGAAACAAAGACGTATTTGGTCACATTAGCAAAAGAAAGAATTTGCTTCTTGCGAGGATTAAGGGAATAGAGAAGGCTATGGAACGCAGCAGCTCATCTTTTTTTGCATGATTTGAAGGAGACTCTGAAGCGTGAGCTTGATACTACTTAGAGCAGGAAAAGAAGTTGTGGTACCAAAAGTCTCAAAGCAAATGGATAATTAATGGTGACCAAAATACTAGGTTTTTTCACAGCTCTACGCTTAATAGGAGAAGAAGGAACAATGTTAATATGCTAAAGCTGGAAAATGATGAATGGTGTGATGATCTGATTCGGTTAAAACGACATGCGTGGAGTTTTTAAAGCATCTGTTTACCTCTAAAAATTGTCAATCTCCATGTGATGACTTGTTGGGGGTTTAGCCATATTCAAGGGGATAAATTGAGCTCACTCACTCACTCATTTAGTGACTGCAGAAGAAGTTCGCAATTCTCTTTTCATGATGGACCCGATGAAGGTCCCAAGAGTTGATGGTTTCCAAGCGAGCTTCTTTCAGAAAAATTAGAGCATAGTAGGGGGAAGTGTTGTACAGTTTGTTACCAATTTCTTCAATACAGAAGACCTTCCTGAATGGGTAAAAAGGACGCTCCTGGTCATTATTCCAAAAGTTGATACTCCGGAGATTCATCCCATCAGTTTATGCACGGTGCCTTACAAGATTATAACGAATATTCTGGTTAATCATATGAAGCCTTTCTTACAGTATTAGATTGCTCATAATCAATCCATCTTTGTTCTAGAACAATACAGAGGAGGTTATACATTCATGAATTTGAAGAGGGGGCGAAGACATGGATGGCTATCAAGGTAGATCTGGGAAAGGCTTATCACCGATTGGAATGGGATTTTATTGAGGAGACACTTGTCGAGGTGGGTTTACCTGCAATTTCATTAGATGGACAATGACTTGCGTTCGGTGTGTTTTAACCCAAGTCCTCTAGAATGGCGATGCTTCGAAAAGCTTCACATCATCGAGAGGTATACGTGAGGGCAACCCTCTCTCTCCCTACCTATTTGTACTGTGTATGGAACGCCTCTCCATGCCATTGAACAAAGGGTGGTTGGGGGTAGGTGGAAGCAAATTCACTTATCAAGGAATGGGCATAGGATTTCTCATCTCTTCTTTGCATATGATTTAATGTTATTTGCGGAAGCTTCAATGGATCAAGTTGCTGTAATCAGAGAAGTTTTGGATTGTTTTTGTAAATGCTCAGATCATCGGGTGAGTAATTTCAAAACTCAGATATTCTTCTCAAAGAACTACGATGGTAGTCGGAAACTTAAAATAGCGAGCAGTTTTGGCTTTGAAGCTGTGACCAACTTAGGGAAGTACGTGGGAGTCCCACACACGGACGGAGCTCCCTTAGAGCCAAGGGGTCGATCCTGTTAAAATTTATATATTCGATATAATTTTGGTTTAATAGTATTTTGGTTCATGTAAAAATAAATATTTAAATTTAAAAAATATAAATATTTATTAAATATTTAATCAGTAGGAGTCGAACTAAAGAATGATAAGTTTGTGTTCTCAAATTTTTGGTCTAATTACAATTTAAGTCATTGTAAGTTTAAATATTAAACAAATTAGAAGTTGTCTTTTGAGTTTTGAGGTTTTTTTTTAATTTAGGGTGAATACAAGGTAATATTTATAAATATTGTCAACTATTTGACAATGTACGCTCATACCCCCTACATACGTGCTTGAACTCATATTTACGTTTTATCTCAGCTTAAATTATTATTACCTCACTAAGTTCTACTTAACACGTGATGAATTTTCATGCGTAGGTTTGAACAAAGAAAGGACGTGAAGTGAAGAGCTTTCTAAGAATCTATTGGAAATCAAACCTACCGACAATATCAGTAAAACATCTTTTCTTTGACTTATTAGTGACATGTACATTATATCTGTTGATTTGTTTTATCAGATTCATTTTTAAAAGGGTCTATAATAGTAAACTAGGACTATTTTAATTTTGGCTAATTTTAGGTATAATCGTATTTACGAATGAATAATATAAATGTTATGTTTAAATGGTTTTTAATTAAGCAGTATTTAAGTAGTTTTGTGTAGTTATGAAATAGCACCGAATTGCCTAATTGCTATGTAAAATCGGATTTGTTTTGAATGATCAATTATCATTTTATGAATCTAGACGCTTAATGAAATAGTTTAATAGTTGATAAAGTGATGTTTTATAATGAAACAAAATTTTAAGCATTTATGTTCCACGAAAGTTTGAAATGTAAATATAACATCTTTAAGTTGTAATTCGAAACGTATACGGGTTATGGGTTTACAACGAGTGAATGATGAGTTGACCAACATAGTCCAGTTTTAGGCCCATCAAACGGTTGATGATGGAGATCGAAGAAATCGAAGAGCCCATCGTATATTTGGGAGATTGAGGCACTTTCAGGTGAAACGATGGCCGGAATCATGTTCAGGGGGTCGAAAAGGTGCGGGCTAGAAAGTTTTGGCTCCATCAGTCGATGGACACGATGGCCGATGACTGTAGACGCGACGTGGTACTAAAATGAAACAAAAATAAACTTTAGGTATGATTTTGAAAAACTTGATAGTTTAGGTACTAAACACATAAATCCTATATTTTATAATTTTAAATTGGATTTGATTAATTAACATTATTATATATATATATATGGTTAGAAAGTAGATAAATTGGAACCAATCTGCACCATGATATTATAAACAATTACAACTAAATTTGTCTATAAACTCGAACAACTCGACTAAAATTTCATAAACTTAAGTCAAACAAAAAAATAAAATTTGAATTGTAGACCTAAGCAACCTCATTGGTTAAGGAGATGGTTGTTATCCCTAGAGATCTTAGGTTTGAGCATCAACAACGGCAACAAAGTATTTGAACGTTTATTGTGAAATGATTTAGAATATATATTATCACTTGTGATCATCCCTAGATTAATCAAAAAAATTTCTTTTATCCAATTGAACTCTCACCCCCAAAAAGGATAACACATCTTTGCCTCTGACTCTAAAAAACTATTATTTACGTGACTAAAGACTGTTAAAAACTCTATCTCATATATATAAACGCAACACATACCAATTAACAAGACCTTATGACAATTGTATGGGGGTTGTGGATGCGGCGAAACAAAGTACTTTTCGATCCAGATTTTGTGGAGAATGAAAGCGTGTTACAAGCAAGTTGGCGGTTTCACCAAGAAGCCATGTACGCTCTGCAAGTACGTGATGAAAACAGGAAAAGGATGGCAATTGATAGACGAAAGGAGGAGTGGCTGCCGCCAGCAAGAGGATTGTTCAAACTTAATACGGATGGAGCAAGAAATGCTTCAAAAGGGTTAGCGACTTGTGGAGGCGTAATCCGGATGAATATGGATGTTGGGTTCAAGGGTTCACGAAAACTATTGGGATTTGTTTCGATTCTTGATGCTGAGTTGTGGGGTTTTTATGAGGGACTATGTTTGGCCCAGAGCATAGGAATTCGACAACTTTGTGTTGAAAACTCCAAAGATGCAAGGCATCTTCTCCAGCAAGGAAGATGGATCGCATATTACCCATGGTTCCACACATAATTGAGCTACTGTTGAGGAATGATCAGCTCAAGTTTAGCTTTACTCCAAGGGAAAGTAACTGTGTTGCGGACGCAATGGCAATGTTGGCAAGGAAGATGGAAAGTAACCGTTGAGGAAGTGCGAATACTGGTTGATGAAGATAGGAAAGTTTGGCACCAGTTCCAAGTGAACAGCAGAAGAGGAAGACAGACTCCTCCTGTAGGCTGTTTAGCTAATTAGATGCTATTCGTTTCATTCCTCCCAATTAATTAAAAAAAAACAGAAGCCCTTATGACATATTTCGTAAATTAAACAAATTTAAATGTCTTTGAAAATAGAATTTTTACCGTTTAATATGTTCCATACTTGTATTAAAATTATAATTAAGATGACTACTGACAGATTTGATTTTTTATAAGAGATCATATTTAGGATTAAATTTACAGATACATATTTGTCAAAAATCAAAATGTATAAAAAAAATCAATTATTAGTCCAAATGCTGATTTCATCCAAGATTTCGACATGTTCATTAAACCAAATGCAAGGGTGGGTCGAATTGTTTCAATGAGCCCTTACGAATTTGAATTTATAAGTTTGGACTCCAACCACATCTTCAAAATCAATCCTACCATACATGTAATGAAATGTGAATGGATATTCATAAGAATTTAGAGGCAAATAAAAAAACAAGTCCTCAACTCATCATATAAACCACAACTCGTAAAGAATCCACAAAGAAACTGAAATTTAGAGAGCAAACATTAAAAAGGAACTTCATATTACTTGCTACCCACATCAAACTTATCAGATATCGACCCTCTCCACATCCTCGTGTACAAGAGTCTTCGATGGCTTTCCCAACAGATCAGTGTACTCCTGGAATGGGGACCTTGTGAACCGAGTCTCTCTCCAGAAATCCGGTGTCAAGAAACCGTATGTCTTCAGAAGACACTCAAAGGTGGCCTGTAAATTTACATCACCAACAACATAAGCATTCTCTAAATCAATTTTTTGGAGATCACATCAAACTCCATACTTCTTAAAGTTTGATCAACAAGAGAATGGAATCATAAAAATAGCATACTTTGTAGAAAAAATGGACTATTGTTAAGTGTTTATTATCATGTTTATACATCGTATTTATTTCAATAAATATACACTCATTTCATAGATGTTCTGAAAGTTTACAACACATCAAACTCCCTAATCACTAAATTTTGAAATACAACAGATCCGGAATCATAAAACTCCGATATTTCCACATAAACCAAACTATTCTTTAGACCTTAGTACCATATTTGTTCATCTTAAGATTACTTTAATACACATAGATACCCGAAAGATGCAAAGAAATGCAATGCATCAGTCACCACCTATCCTAAATCACATTCTTTAATCACTTAACTAATTTATCATAAACCGTACAATATGTAAATAACTGGAATCACTAATACAATAAACAGCTACCAACAATCCAAAACATCTGACGCTAAAACATTAAACCCATATTCAAATAGATGTAAATTCGAATTAAAGAAGAAAAGTTAATACCTTGACAAAGTTTCCAAGAGTTTTGGTTGAACCCCTTGAAGAAGTGAAGACATCATCAATACCAGCAAACTGAAGAACCTTTTTGGGAACTCTAGCAGCCACAATACCCGCACCTCTCGGAGCCGGTACCATCCTAACGGTGACGGACCCACATTTCCCGGTAACCTTGCACGGTACTGTATGGGGTTTCCCGATCTTATTTCCCCAATAACCTCTTCTAACCGGTATCACTGACAACTTAGCCAAAATTATGGCCCCTCTTATAGCAGTCGCAACTTCTTTGCTGCATTTCACGCCGAGTCCGACGTGTCCATTTCCGTCGCCGACGACGACGAAGGCCTTGAAGCGCGTGCGCTGACCGGCGCGAGTTTGCTTCTGGACTGGAGTGATCTTCATGACCTCGTCTTTGAGTGAGGGGCCGACGAGCTGATCGATGATTTGGTACTCTTTGATGGGAAGAGAATGGAGATAGATTTGTTCGAGGGATGTGATTTTGCCTGCTTTGACTAAGCGGCCGAGTTTCGTAACCGGTACCCACTTTTCCTCCTCATCCTTGCGGCCCCGGCGCCTGCCTCGTGGACCACGGTCGCCTCTTCCGCCACCAAAGCCACGCCTGAAAGCGCCGCGTTCACCTCCACCTCTTTCCGCCATTGTCTTTTACCCAGGGATGCAGGGATTGAGATAACTGGTGAAGAAGAAAATTGAAGCGGCTAGGGTTAGGATTTTATATGCGGAGATTGTTCGAATTAGGGTTTTGGATTTGGGGGAGTTTATTATGGGCTTTGATTATATTGGAAAACAAAAGCCATAGCTCGAATGGGTTGGATTTTGTATTTTTGCTTCGGTCCATTAAATTGTTGATGGTTATAATTATGCTGGAAAATAGTACAATCAAGATGTATTAAGGTCAGTTCGAAAGACTAAAAATTATTTCTGGAAAAATAAATAATATTTTATGGAAAATATATTTCAAAAATTAATTAATTTTTAAATTTTAAAATAAAATTATTCATTATTTTTTAATAGAAAATGACAAACTTGGAACATATGAATAGTCGAGTAATTATTTTTGTAACATCTAATAATTGGCTGACTCAATAAAACAACATCCTATAATCGGAGGACTATTTCATATATTTTAATAGTTGGAGAACTCAACAAAGTAGTATCATGTAGTCGGGGATCGTTTGTGTTGAATTAATATTTTGATATAACAATAACTTACAAAATTGATTTTAGACTTAATTGAATTTATCAAAAATTTATCTAATATAATTCAAAGTCCAAATTAACTTCAAAAATATTTTTTAAATGTTAGACCCCAATTTAGGGGCTAAGCTTTTCTTAAAAATAATTTCGGGGATTAAGTTAAAATTTAAGTTAAATTGAGGACCAAAATGAATTTTTAATTAAATTCAAATCAAATTCGAAAAGTAGCGAAAATTGGATTACCTATGGCATAATTTTACCATTTTTCTAGATGTGTTAGGTTATAAACCCCAAAATCTCAAACTTTCCATTTCTGGAAAGTGTAAATCTCTCTCTCGTTTTCCTTTTTTTAGCAACTTTGATTCAAGAAACTTTAAACTTCGTTTTGTCACCGATCAAAGTTCCGTTTACGACAGCTCTCGTATCATCATGACCCTTTCGTTGTCTCGAGTCCATCAATATTAGTTTTGTCACCGTTTCCACCGGTATGTGGAGGGGTGAGGAAGTAGGGATGTAAACGAGCCGAGTCGAGCTCGAGTATTGTTGAGCTTGACTCGACTCAAAAACTTTGAAATGGAGCTCAACTCGACTTGAAAGCTCGCTAGCCCAAAATTTTCAAGCTCCACTAGAACTCAAAATTATTAATTGAAGCTTGTAAAAGCTCGCCAAGGCTCGAAATAAAAAAAAAACTTAAATTTAGCTCAATTGAAGCCTCAAAATCAAACTCAAACCTAAACCTTAAATACATGAAAACCTTATACTACATTTTTTTTAAAAATCAACACATATATCTTAATATTATTAATAATTTATTTATTTTAAATAAAATCTTAATATATTATATTTAGAGTCCAGTATCAAGTAGCTCGTTCCAGCTCAGTAAGAACTCGAGTGGAACTCGAACTTGAGTTGAGTCCATTCGAGTCAAGTATATATTAATCTTTGATCGAGTCGATCTCGAGTAGCTTGCGATCTGTCTCGTCTCAATTACAGCCCTATGAGGAAGAACATATTTCTGGCGTTTCAAAATCGAGCTCCCCGCTCATTCACCTACGTGAACCTAGCTTGGTAAGTGTCTTAAAACCCCTTAAAATAATTTTATATTTTTTTTGTAATTTTCTGACCCCAGACGTCGTCGCACATGCCCCCACATGCCGCTGTTGCGCGTGGGGCTTGTCCATCGCCTGGTACACCTTCTAAAAATGGGTTAACCCAACCCGTATGACTCGACCCACCTACTGACTCGTTTCAAAACCATCTGGCCCAAACCCGTTTAGCTTAAACCGACCCAAGTGAACTTGTCCAGTAGAGCTGAGTCGAATCGAGTCGAGCCGTTGATCATTAACCATCATTAATCGTTGATTGTCGTTGACTTACTTTGAATTTGATCCTTGACCTGTATTGACTTTTTGTGAGAACTTGGTTCTTGACATTTTTCGATGTCTTGGGTTCGATTTTGTAATCCGTTTCACCAAATTCTGACCCAAAAGCCTCAAAATAAGAGTGTTAACCCAAAAATGCTTAGTATTTTTAGCATTTCTGTATGATTATTTGGGCATTAAATATAGAATTAATTTAGGAATATATTTTTATGATGGTACCCGAGTTCCCCTGATCAAGGACTGACTAGATCTGACGCTTCGCTTCCAGCAGATTCGTACGATCCACGTTCTTTGAGAGCTACTCGTAGGTTTCCATAAACTGTTTAAGTATATTTTATTATTTATTATATTAAGATTTTGATACAGTTCTTCCTTCTTGTAGGATCTAGCACTACTATTGACTTGATAAGCAGAGCCAATAGTAAGCTACCGTACCAAACTCCTCAGATTGATATATGTGTGTTCTTGATGATGTTACATTACTGTATTAAATTACCTATCTGAACTATTTTGGAATTATGACGATATCAAATATTTTGATTGCATGATATTCGATTTGCCATATGCATTGGGTTTTGATATCTGATTTACCGTATACTTCTAACATGATCTCTGGTTATTGTATTTATGTATATAATTTTGGAATATAGAATGCTTTCATGTTTTAATAAATTAAACTATCATTTTCACTAAAAAATATGCATATTTACTGTCACTGGGTATTATTGGAGGAAGTATCTCAAGCTTAGTCTATGACTTGTAAGACCTTACCGTCGACTCCTCTACTTTGTGGATAGGGTAACTCCTTACCACAAGTCCTTATGCTATTAGTATAAGGTCCTTACGGGGTGTAGAGGTGGGTGTATGGTTCAGGGGAATCTACGCATTCTAGTGTTTGGATGGGGGTAGTCTTCATAGTTTAAAAGCATGTTTTATAAATTAATTTTTACCAAAGTATTTATCTGAATGTTTATATACACCGCAAGGAGCACGCTGAGCTTTTTAGCTCACTCTTTAATTTTTACTTTTTAGATATTACCAAACAACAGGCTAATAGACTTAGCATCAAGAGGATCGATCGTGCTCCTTTTTGTA